TCTCTTCCCTTTCTCTCACTCCCCACATCAAACCAGTTATAAAGTCCTATTAATTCTGCCTTCAACAATTTTTTTTTCAAATCTGTTCCCTTGTTTTCATTCATGCTGCTGCAATCTTATTTCAAATTCTAATCACCTGTTGCACAGGTTACAGTAATAGACTCCCAACCACTAGTTTCTTCCATCTCCAAACCATCTTTTGTGCAGCTGACAAAATAATCTTCCTTCAAACCATACCACCCCCACACTTAAAAACCTTTAGTGGCTCCTTATCACCTACAAAACAAGCTTTGAACTCTTTAGCCTAGCATTCCTGACTTTTAACAGTCTGGCTCCAACTCACCTTTCCATCTTTATTTTGTAGTACTTACCTTAAAATATGTACTCCAGCCAAAAGAGATTATTCATTACTTCCCAAACTTATCCTACTCTTTCCCACTTCCATGATTTTGAGAATCCCAATCTCTATTGACATCTTTCCCCTTCTTCCAGGACCAGCTCAGATGCTACATTCCTGGGGCGAGTCAACTAAAAGTGATGAATTTTAATCTCTCAGATCACTGTTTGACTTCTCAGTGCAATGAATCATGTCACCTATAAGCTAGTTATTTGTGTCTGTGTCTTACTCTAGTCTTCTTGGTAGAGTGTAAGCTTCTTGAAGAGATAGATATCTTTGTATCTTCCCCAGTGCCTAGCAAAGTGCTTAGCATAGGGTGGTCATTTAATAAATTTTTGTTGAATTTGTTAAGCTGAGAAGGTCCCAGCCTCTGGTGGAGAAATAAATGCTTCCCATTTTCATTACTTTTTTGTACCCATCCCAACCCCAATCAAATCTTGAATTACTCTGAAGTCTTGGATCTTGGGTCTTATCACTTGGTGAGAGGTCCTATCCTATCCTGATTTTAAGAAAAGAATAACAAGATGTAACCAGTCCTCCTCCCTGGGGCTTGGAATAGTCCATTATGAGGAGAGGAGTAGAGGTCTATGAACTTTTTCCTACCTACAAAGAGTCAGAAGCATGGAAGATTGTCCCACTGTAGTGGTAAGACAGAGGAGTATCCAGATCCATGGTTCTCAAGGGATGAGTTTTGCACAAAATTTTGGATCCTATGTTATTACAGATTTAAAAATTTCATAAGTAGTTTTCAATATACCTTTTACTTACCCAGCATATTCAGTGTGGTAAGTATAATATTCTCAAGATAAATAAAACTTGCCTATTACACATATATACTAACTTTAAAAAATCAGATCTTGAACTTGACAAGAACTCAGCAAAATAGTTATTCTTGTTGAAGGAAAACTGCATGCATAAATCTCTGTACTCTCTTCTAGTGTTGCCAAACTAAACTTTCAATGTGGCCAGATTCCTCATTCATTGTTGTGAGTAATAAAACATTTGACCAGCACTGATCTAGATACTGAGAGAGGGGTTTTAGGAGGTGACCTGAAAACTTTTAGCACGTATCTGGGGCATATATTACCGGAGATGAAATCTTTTTTTTTTTAGATGAAATCTTTGGTCTGTGTCTGTTTTTCATCCTCTGTACAGTTGGACAGTGCCAGTGACACTTGTTGCCTACTACACTAGAGATGGTTAAGGTTATTTTACTTGAGTAAACTGAATTTATCTCCATCATGGAAAGGCTAAACATGACAACAGAGAATCTGAGGATTTTTGAGTTGGGAGAAATCTTAATGAATGAGCATATTGGCTTTGGCAGCCCAACCTTCTGATTCTATCTTCCTTATTAGTTCTTCTTCTTGCTCCCTCACACTGCCCCACATAAGATTACTCCCTTCAACATCTCAGATATCACCTCTTTGAATATATCAATGAACTCTTGAAGCAGACTGCTCCATTGTTAGCTCCAAGCCTAAGGAAGCTTTTCTGAAATCTGCCTCTAAGTTGCACTGTAGGCAACTAGTTCTGCTTTTCAGTGCCAAAGAGAACAATCTAATTCTTCTTCCATATGTTACAATCCTTAGGACAGCTGATGACTGTGAGCCAGTCCCACAAGTGTTCTTCTTCTTCTTCTTCTTCTTCTTCTTCTTATTTAGCCTAATAATCTTTAGTTTAGGCTAAACTTGTGTTTAGCCTAAATGTGTTATTTAGGCTAAATAATCTTCAGTTCCTTTAACTGATCCTCATATGATAGTTTTGAGTAATTTCACCATCTTAATTATTCTCTTTGGGACCCACTCCAGTGCACCAATGTTCCTCTTAAAATATGTCTTCTAGAACTGAATACAATTTTCCAGATGTGGTCTGACCAGGGCAGAGTACAGTAGGACTTTTATCTCTATCTTCCTTGTTCTGGACAAGGCAGTCTAAAATTAGAATTGCATTTGTGGCTGCCACATCCTAATGTTGACCAATCCTAAACTGGAAGCCAAAAGACCCCATAGCCTTCTAAATATTTGTCATTTTAATGGCTTTTATGAGAGTCAGTGTGATAGTCTTTGAATCAATAAGACTTGGGCTCAAATCCTTTCTCTCTGACATGTACTAGCTCTGTGACCATGGGCAGGTCATAGTACTGCTTAGTGCCCAGGGTCACCCTCACACCACAATGAAGTATCAGATATAGGACTTAGTGGAGAAAGATTCCTCATGAAGTTTATCAATACTAGTCCTGCCCCCAGACTTTTCAAGATCCTTACAATTTTTGTCATCTTTGCAAAGACAAGGGAAATTATTGGGAGTTGAGAGCAGTTAGGTGGCACAGAATGTGGGGCCTTGAGTCAAGAAGACCTGAATTCAAATCCAACCTCAGACACTTACTAGCTGTGTGAACCTCTGTTTACCTCAGTTTCCTCATCTGTAAAATGAGAATGATAATAGCACCTACCTCCCAGAGTTGTTATGAGTGAGACAATTATTGTAAAGGACTTACCACAGTGCCTGGTCCATGGTAAGCATACATAAATATTATCTATTATTATTATAATACATGAATATATTGTGTCTGCAAGGTTGGTGGCTAAATACTCTTTAGCTTTCCACTACTTTGTAATCCCCAGATGGAACTGAGGTGATCCTGCATTCTTTAGGATTCTACAATGGGATATAAGCTTTTCCTCACTTTGCAACAAAATGATGGAAACCCCAGGGACATTCTTAGTCCTGCTGCAAATCAACTTGACGATAGGAAGAGTATTTAAGCAGAAGCAGAGGAACCACCTGTCAGGGATAAAATAGATGGGATTTCTACAGGGTTCATAGTACAGTGCAATGATATTGGTTCTGGAGTCAAAGGAACCTGGATTCGAATTCCATCTCTGACACTATTAAAGTCACTTGTGTGACCTAGGCAGGTCACTTACCTTCCCTGGGCTGCAGTTTCCTCATCTGTAAAATGAGGGGGTTGGAGTAGAAGGTTTCTGAGGTCCCTTCCAGCACTGCCTCTATGATCTTAAAATCTTGCCTCAGACACTCAGACAGACTACTCACAAGAAGTCAGAGCAGAGCCTCAAAGCCACAGACCCTCAGAGTTGGCAGAGACCTCCAAGGCCACCTAGTCCAACTCATTCATGAATTCCTTCTATATATTTCCCCAAAGTAGTCATCCAGCCTTCTCTTAAGAGGGAAGTCAAGACTTCTCTTCCCCCTCCCCCACTTAATAGTTTTTAATTTTTCCCAATTACATGTAAAGATAGTTTTCATAATCACTTTTATAAGATTTGAGTTGCAAATTTTTTTTTCTCCTTCTCTCTCCTCCCCCTCCCCAAGACAGCATGCAATCTGATATAGGCTATACATGTACAATCCTATTAGATATATTTCCACATTAGTCATGTGAAGTCAAGACTTCTTGAGGAAGCTCATTCCATATTTGGGTAACTAATTGTTAAGACAGCTTTTCCTTACCCAGAGCGCAGTAAACTTGCCTCTCCCCCTTCAGCCCACTGATTCCATTATTGTTCTAGTGCAAAACACAAGTTTAATGGCTCTTTCCAGAAATAGCCCTTCAACTACTGAAAGAAGTACTATCACATCTGCCCCCCTCTACCCTCCCCATTTTATCTTTAGATTAAACAGCCTCATTTCCTTTAACTAATCTTCATAATATAAGTTTGAAATTCTTCTACATCTTCATTGCTCTTCTCTCCATGCCCTTTAACTTGTCCATGTTCTTTCTAAAATGTGATGGTCAAAGCTGACTACAATAGGGTGGGCTTCAGTAGAACTAATCACCTGCTGTGTTCTGGACACTGCCTCTTTTAAGGCAGCAGCTTGAAATTACATTGAACTTCCTTCCTTCCTTCCTTCCTTCCTTCCTTCCTTCCTTCCTTCCTTCCTTCCTTCCTTCCTTCCTTCCTTCCTTCCTTCCTTCCTTCCTTCCTTCCTCTCTCTCTTCTTTCCTCTCTTTCTCTCTGCTTTCTTTCTCTTTTCTCTCTCTTCCTCCTCCCTTCTTCTTCTCTTTTCTTTTGCTCTGCCATGCCATACTTTGCATATGCAATCCACTAAAATCTCTAGTTGATTTTTTTTAAAAAGGCACTCTAGAGATCATCTAGTCCAATCTGAAACCTTTCCAATTCTGAGATTCTAGGACTCTACAAGTGTCAACTAGTGGGAGTGAAGTGGGGGACATAGTCGTGGGGGAGTAAAGAAGATGGGCAAAGTAATTGAACAACTGGTTCATGACTTCCCTTCTACCTGTGTAGCTTTGGGCAATCACTTAAGCTTTCTGGGCTGCAGCTCACTGTTCTGTAAAATGAGGGTCTTGGTTAGATGACTTCTAAGGTCCCTTCTAGCTGTAACATCTTGTTATCATGTGTTTGCCGATTAAGTAAAACCGTAGGAAATCGCTAGAGCAAGAAGATTAGATACTAGAGGAAGACAGGTCTGACCCGGGGCCGGCAAGACACTCTGTCCCTGGAGGGGTACTGGAACCCTTGGGTGGCTGGCAGGCGGGCCCCGCCTCTGGCTCGTGGGGCTGTCCTGTCCCCGCCCCGGGGCTGTTGCAGCAGGTGCTGCACAGAGCAGGAAGCTGCCGTAGCTGCTACTGTTCAGCCGGCACCCCGGGCTTGTCACAGAACTGCTCCAGGAGCCAGGACACGCCGCCACTGGAATCCCTAACTCCGCCAGGCAGGACCCCTGCTTCTCAGAGCTCGCCTGCTCGTGCGCTGCGGGGACCCCGGACTGCCAGCTAGCTGAGCAAGTTTGCAGGAAGGTGACCCCGGCCGGCCACCCCGCCCTCCCTTACAGGGGCTCACCGGGGCTCCCTGCAGTTTCCTCACCCCCCCCCAAGCCCACGACGCCGCGAGAGGACTGGGTGGAGGGGCACGAGCAGAACAGGGGCGAAATCCCCAAGTCTCCGTGGGGACTTTCCCCCCCCCGCACTCCCCCTACACCGTCAGCCACTTTCGTCTGTCCCCCTTAGGCTTGGCAGGACCTCTACTCTCCGGCCCCAGAAGATGAGTGGCACAGAGAAGGATCCGGATTTGGACCAAAGGGGGGACCCGGGCCCTGAGCCCGCGGAGAGCCCCCAGGTCGAGTTTGACTTCTCCATCCTATTCGATTATGAGTATATGAACCCTGTAGAAGGTGGGTGGCGGCCCCGCGCCGCGCGGGCCGGGGAGGGCTGGGCTGCCAGACTGGGCCAGGCACCAGGCGGGGCTCAGTTCCGGGCAGCCAGCCAGGGGAGGGGGCTGGGGCACGCTTGCCGCTCCCGTCCCCTTTCCCTGGGCTGCAGCCGCTCTCTGCGGGCCCTGGGGGCCCGGGCTGTTTCTCCTTCCCGCACCAAGGTGAGAAGGAGGCGGCAAGGCGGAGACTCAGCTTCTCATTCTCCCATTAACCCTTAGAGGACGATTGGCGCACGCCTGCTTCTGCCTGGGGTGTTGAGATGGGCTGAAGGCTCGCTTTCCTTTGTGGAAGAGCCCGAGTGTTAGAGGCCAGTGGTGCCCTCTTGCCAGGCTAGGTAGTTGTGAAGTAGCACCTTCCACAGAGACAGTAAGGGACCGTTGGTATCTGAAGCAATATGATGTGGTGGAAACATTGGCTGGAATTAGTGTTGGAGTATGTGAGTTCAAATTCTGACTCTGCTCTTTATTACTATTCTTGGTGGCTTTTTGCAAGCCACTTCTCTGGTCCTCAATTTCCTCTGAAAAGTGAGGGAGTTGGCCTATTTCTAAGGTTCCTTCCATGCTCAAATTCCATGATGACAATAATGAACATTTATATCACACTTCAAAATTTACAAAATTCTTTGCCATCTTGAGTATTCCAGCAAAACTGTCAGATATACACTACAGATATTATTATCCCCGTTTAAACATGAGGAAACTGAGTGAGGCACAGAGAAGTTTTAGCCCATGGTCACACAGCAGGTATCAGCGGTAGGATATGAACACAGTTCTCTTAAGTCCCATTATCTCTATAGTTCCTTCCAGCTCTAAAATTCCATGATTTGAATGTTTGTAAAATTCAAAGTATTGAACGTAATATAATACAAAAGGGTTAGAAGGCTAGAAAACAAAACTTAATATAATACATAAGGGCTAGAAGGCTAATAAGTGGTACTGGGAGTAGTAGGAAGAGAATAGCAGACTAGAAGAGTAGATTGAGAGGAAGAAGTCCCAACTGAGGTTAATGGACACCATTCAAATTGCTGCTAATCCTCTCAGATAGTCTGGTAGAGACTGGCCAGTTATGACTTAGGTCAGTGGTTGTTTATGCTTCAGTAGAGAGCCCAAGGAAGAGGTTAAATGTGATGGCAGCTCTAAAGGTGGTTTTCCTTAGTTGTTTTCAGGCCAGCCCATTTCCTCCCAGTGCTCTGTGGCTGCTTGTATCATTCAAATCAGTGAGTGGAGAGTGATGAGCTAACTTCTTAAATAGTTTGTGCAGTGGCATTCTTCCTCCCTTGATGATGGGGGCTAGCCTTGTGTTAGGGCTGTTCAAAAAAGCAATTTGTCCTCCCTTAGGATTGGTAATTGGTCTGTCCCTGCAGTGGGTGTAATTAGAGCCTGGGGGACTTTACCACTCTGCTAGGTGCTAAGTTCAGATCCATCACATTGTACAATCATGTGCAGCAGAGGGAGGGGGAGGCATCCTCTTTGGGTTTTGTTAGTTGACAGGTTCCCCTGACCAGAGTTGATTTACACGTCCTCTGCGAAGAGGAGACTGAGTAAGTTTGACAATATTGACCAGCTTGAGACTGTGACAGGTTTTTGAAGCATGCTTTCTGGCGGTGTGCAATGATCCCAGTGGAAATCCTTTCAATAGGGGAACAAGCCTTTCACACATATTTCTGTTTGTTTTTCTTCTGGTGGGTAGAGTTAGTGCTCAATCAGACTGGCTACAGAACTTCTTGAGAGCAGAGGTTGTTTTCTGTCTCCTTATCCCCTGTAACACCTAACACACAACAGGTGCTTAATAAAATACTCAGAACCTTAGAGCTAGAAGCAACTTTAGAGTATAGAACTGCAAAGCTGAAAGTGCCCTGAGAGATCGTCTTGTCCAATAGTTCTCCAAGTGTGGTCTGGAAACCTCTGGGTGTCCCTGAGACTCTTTAAGGGAATTTGACAGGTCAAAACTATTATCATAACAATACTAAAATATTTAGATGTAAGTAAATATCTATAGATCTAATCCACATAAAGCAAAACTATTTGGGAGGAGTTCTGAATGATTTTTCAGGGTGTAAAAGGGTCCTGAGATCAAAAAGTATGAGAATTGCTAGCCTAGTCCATTACCTTCACTTTGCAAATGGAGAAACTGAGGTCCAATTTTGTTGTTGTTTGACTATAGAAAATTTACTCTTTCCACTATCAATGTCCATTCTACTCTGAGAGGTATCTGACTCTCCCGTGTGTGCCCTCAATTGAATGTGTGGAAATGGTAATTAGTATTAATTTTGTTTTAGCCAAAGATGGAAATAATTAGCATGTAAAGGAAAACAACTTTCTAGAATTGCAATCTGGAGAGCATTCTTTGCTTTGAAAAGATACCATTGAGAGTCTGCAAACAGTCCAAGCCAACCTCAGTGGTCTTTTCGTTTACCAAGATTAAAGTATGTTATGTAGACCACTATTTAACCCCCCTCCCAGATCTGCAATCAGTGGGGCTCACTAGTATGCTTTGAATAGATTGTATGTGGAATTATTTCAGAGCAGATCTTGATGGAAGATGTTTTATAAACATTTTTCTTTTCCAAATGGATTATGGAGTGGACAACCTTACTGTCTGGTTCCATTGGTTTCTAAAGCACAATTGAGAAGAGTCCTGAAATTAATTAATTCAGTAAGTGTTTATTGAATTTCCTATTATGTAAGGAGCATTGTATTAGGTACTGGGGACACACAGAAATAAAAGTGTTTTAGTAGGGTGGGGATAACATGTACACATATACACTATAACACAGATTTGAATGTACTAAGTGCCCAAGAATACAAAGTATTATGAGATCAGATAAGATGTTTAAGTAATGTCGCTAGTGTCCATCCTGAGAGACCCAGAAAATGGTGGGTATCTATAGTCGTAGACTATGAGACCTTGACTCCCAGAATGGAAAGAGTATGAATCTGGAGTAAATTGCTGCAGATGTCCAGCTTCCCCAATGCTGCTGTAGGGACAATAATGCCAGCTTTTGTCCAGTTGCACATGTTGGTTCTCTGGACGGGCTGTGGCCACCTCAGCTTCTTAGGCCCTCCAGTTCCATGTGGTCTTTGCTTTTATGCCTCATCTCAAACCATGGTGTTGTTAATAAGAAATATTTAGAGCTTTACTCATAACTCCAGGCATGTGGACGTTGCAGAAAATGAGTCAATGTAATTGAATGTTGAGTATTTTATGTTAAATGGGAAAGGGACAGGGAGAGACAGGTAGATATGGTGGATAGATCACTGGATTTGGAATCAGGAAAATCTGAATTCAAATCATGCCTCAGATACTATGTGACCCTGATTAAGTCACATAACTTCCCTCTGCCTCAGTTGCTTTATCTGTAAAATAGAGATAATAATCTCTTTACAGGATTGTTGTGAGGATCAAGTGAGGTCATATATACAAAGCATTTTGTAAACTTTAAAACATTATATAAATGTTAGTTATCATCATCATCATCATCATCATTGGGAATGGATCTGTGATTTCACTAGTAAAGGGAATTCCCTTTACCGATGCAGATTGGCATCTTCCCTGCAATTTACAGTCTTACAGAGTTGCTTAGAATACAGAAAGCAAATGACTTGCCCAGGGTCATGTAGTCAGTTTGTGTCAGAAACAGGACTTAAACCCATTTCTTTATCCATTATGCCATGATGACTTTTTACGCTGAATGACCCAAAGTTTTTCTTGACTGAGGAAACGTGTACTTTCCTAGAAGTTGTTTCTCTTCTTCATAGGATTCAATTCAATCCAGCAAAAATTTATTAAATACCTCCTAGGGGTCAAAGCACTATGTTTAGAGGAATGATAATAACTGCTTATATATATATATATATATATATATATGTATATATATGTATATATATACACACACACACATGTATATATATACACACACACATGTGTATATCTACACACATATTTATATTGCATTAAAAGTTTGCAAAGCTCTGAGAGCCAGGTGCTATTATTATTATTTAATTTTACAGATAGGAAAAGCAAGGCTTAGAGTAACTGCCTGTCATCACACAACTAGCCAATGTCTGAGATGGATTTCTTGATTCTAAGTGCAGTGCTTTGCAATGTTTTACTATGGCATGTTGTCTCTCAAGCATTCTAAGCGTGGTCCCATTTGAAATGGGACATCAACCGGATGACTTTATATTTGGAAGAATAATTTTAAACCTTCTGAAAGATAACTTGGAGCTCTAATTCTTTTATATATGCATGTTATTTAACTTATTAATTCTTTCATCCTAAACATAGCAATTTATATATGTAGTGCTATAAATCATATATATATATATATACACATATACATATATTTATACAGATACATACACACACACACACACACACACACACACACACACGAGAGGCAGCATGGCATCGTAGAGAGCTGGCCTCAGACCCAGGAAGACCTGGGTTCAGGTTCTGCCTTTGACATACTAGGTAGGTGACTCTGAAGCAAATTACTTAACTTCTCAGTGCTCTAGACATTTCTTTAAGAACATTGGTTGTAGAGAAGATGCTGATGTGCTTTGGAAGAGGAAGTTTTCTCATCTGTTAGTACTGTATATCAATGAAACTACAGGTCAATACTCCACCCACCCCCTACCCCCCAGAGCTGGTTAAATTTTCTAGTCTTTGTCTCAGATTAGGCAATTAATTTCCGGATAATCCATGTTTTCTTGTATCACTCATCTTCTGGTATATTCTGGCACATAAAAAAGGACAGTGTGTTGTAATAAATAGAAAATATGCCGGCATGCAAGTCAAGAGAGTCAGGTTCTAGTCCAAGCTCTTTTACTAACTAATGGTGTAATCCTGGTGAAACACTTTCTCTTTCTGAGCCTCAGTTTCTTTATCTGTAAAATGAAGGCATTTAAAGTAGATGAGCTCTCTTTTCCAGCTATCAGATTGCGATTTATGTGACTGAG